CCATCCATCCATCCTTGCAGGGCGACTGCACTATAAATGTCAGATGGGTTTTTCCACCCATCTGTCTGAATTAGACGGGTGGTTGGATGGATGCTACGAGATGTGCCAAGTTGTCAGCTAACTCATTAGGAATCGCCCTCTTAGTGCAAACATACTATATGACACTATTGACCTGTGTTATCGTCTTGAATTTTTCATAACTTCGACTAAAGAAACAGACGATGTGTTTGGAGACAGACTGCTGGTCCCTAAAGAACCTGTTTAAAATCGGTTCTTTGCCAAACTGTCTGTTTTGAGGACACATCAGTGGTTTATTTGAGTGAGGTGCATTTTTATGCTTTAATGAACTCGACTGAAACTGAGGAAGAAAGCAGCCAACGTTCAAAATGTTGAAAGATCTTCAGAAATCCTGGAGAACGGCTTTAAACTAGAAGGTTTGGCTGTTTGGGAGCAAACGAAACATTTGCACTGTAAACAAAGACTCGCCTACTTTTGCATCTCAAACATAATATATATACAAGATATATTTAAATATATTTATACAGATGCAGTTTTGTCTTGTCCTTCACGTTGCAACAGCTGTTTGGTAAGTAAAGTTCCATAAGAGGAGTGTGTAAGGTGGCAGTTCTGTTTTCTTTGAAGAGGAACAGAAAACGACAGTGAGGACGAGGACTCACACGTTTGTTTAAAATGAGAGGATCCAAACTTCCAAACATCAGACGGGAAAGGCCCTAAAATGTCTCTAAAAGTCTGCACGTCTCACAGCTGCTGTCCAGTCAAAGTAACCTGTGTGCTGTGTCAGCAGTGCAGCGCGCTGCTCTGACTCGTGTTGCCATATTTTCTTAGGGGAATTAATCACAGTTCTCCCACTTCTTCTTTTTCGTAACGTATTTTTCTCCTGTATTTAAATTTCACTGTAACTGCTCAAGAGCTGCATTTGGACACCGGCTGATTTCAGCTGTGTTGCGTTTGGGGGGAAAGCAGAAGTGAGCCCGGCTGCAAGAGTCTGATAATCACAGGTGCTTCCTGACAGCGGAGGGTTTACAGAAAAGATACGACTGGAAACGATCTTTTAATACTCTGAGGTTTCATATGATGACCTGCTGAGGTGTTGATTTTGACCTCTGCAGTGTTACATATAAACTTGCCTACAGTAGCAGAGCTTCCTCTTTCTTACCTGGCAATGAGGGGATGATTCTGTCTCTCGCTTCTATTTGACCGGACTCGATGGGAAACATGTCCTTCAAAGATTTCTGTGATGAAAACGAAATATTTTTGAACTTTATTTTGTCCAAACGTTGCTGAGCGGAGCCTTTATTTCGTGGTGCAGATGGACTTACGTGGAAAGTGTGGATTTCAGGATACGTCCTGTAGATGAGCTTCTCTGAGAGGTCGCTCCATTTCACCATCAGCATGTACACCTGCACACATTTAAAGGCACAAACAGAGGAGCTACTTTCACAGTTCATCAGACGGTTAAAGAAATTAACTCGGCGCTGTTGGACTATAAACCAGGACTTTATCTGAGTTTTAGGGCAGCAGAATAAGATGTTTGCAGCCTTACGTAGTGCTGACTTGGGAAGAAGCGCTTCTCGTAGCCCAGCAGCTCCAAGTGCCTGACGTAGATGTTCTCCATGCTGAGAAGCAACACACCAGAGTCCAACTGAGCTGAAAGACAACAGAGGCGAAGCTTTTATACTGTCTGTGTGCCGCGGCAAAGTTTACTTCCTCTTTGTGAACACAGAGAAAAGGAAAGAAGGAAATTCTGCTGCTTTCACTTCTCAACTGTATAATTTTATGATAATAATAATAAGAAGAATAACACCTGCGTTTGTTATGCTTATAAAACTAAAACAGAGTACAAGTGCTTTCAGATTTACTAAACGCACACAGGTGATTACTGCACGAGCTTCTCTTTCAGAGAGAAAACCTCCAGAAACACGATTTCCTTTATTTACTTTACATTGTCC